ACCTCAGGAGTACATAAACCTTGTGAAGGCTCTTTACTCGAACACTACTAGTCGAGTCAGAGCTTATGGCGAACTGTCATCTGTTTTTGCATCCTCAAGTGGTGTTTGTCAATGCTGTCTACATCCTCCATTTTTGTTTAACTTCATCATAGACCTACTGATGGAAATAACACTCTCGTCGACTGAATTCTCGGGTATTGATCTCCTTCCAGGAGGTCCACTTATCGACTTAGAATACGCAGATGATATAGTCCTGTTTGGTGAAGACGCTGACAAAATGCAGAGTCTTCTGGTAGCACTAAGCAACAATGCCAGAATGTTTGGGATGCGCTTCTCTCCCTCTAAATGCAAGTTGTTGCTTCAGGACTGGTCTGCGTCAACACCTGAACTAAGGATAGGGAGTGAAGTAGTTGAACGCGTTGACAACTTCACTTATCTTGGAAGTCTGATCAGCCCTAATGGGTTGGTGTCTGACGAAATCTCAGCTCGGATTCGAAAAGCTCGTTTGGCTTTTGCCAACTTACGTCACCTTTGGCGGAGGCGAGATATCCGTCTATCAATAAAAGGACGAGTATACTGCGCGGCAGTCCGTTCTGTCTTACTTTACGGCAGCGAAACATGGCCTTTAAGAGTAGAAGACACCCGTAAGCTACAAGTATTTGACCACAGATGCCTTAGAAATATTGCTGGCATCTGCTGGGATCACTGGGTAAGTAATAGTGAGGTTAGACGTAGGGTATTAGGGAATGATGGTAAATCAGTTGATGAGGTTATGAATCTTCATCGACTGAGATGGTTGGGCCACGTATTACGTATGCCTGAACACCGATTACCACGACGTGCAATGCTAACCGGTGTAGGGGATGGTTGGAAGAAAGTTAGGGGTGGCCAAACCAAAACGTGGCATCAGTGCTTGAAGTCACTAACTTCTAGTCTTAGCCATGTTGGTAGATGCAGACTACTTGGTTGGGGTCCGCGTGACTTTCGTAACCAATGGTTGGAGACTCTTGGTGACGTGGCTCAGAATCGATCACAATGGCGTCGGTGTATACACTCTTTGTCTTCCCTTAAACTAAGAGATTAAAATCACTTCATATCTTTCTTTCTACGAACTAATTCTTCCTTCCTATACTATATCCTTATTGCAACCTTTGACCTAACCACTCCTATGAATCCGGTGTTCATCTTGTTGTGCTAATGAGGTATGGCAACCTGGACCGATGCACATATGTGCCTGGTCCTACGTTGTAGCTGACTGACTGACTGACTGACTGCCAGTCATGAGGACGCGTCAGTGCAATCCAGACCCAACGTCTGGAAAGCAAACATACCAGACATCATGCACTCAGCATCGTTAATAGATTGGACAATAGACCCAGAGTCCTCCATTGAAACGGCCTGGGACACATTTCGAAAATCATACTTAAAAGTTACCACACCTCACATCCCTTGGACTATACCAAAGGGGCCGAAAAACTCACCACCATGGTTCAGTAGGGAGGTCCGTATCCTTCTCCGTAAGAAAAGGAAAACGTGGGATAGATTTAGGTTACTGGGGACTGATGAGTCAAAATCTCAGTATCGAAAGGCTCGGAACACTTGTGCCTCGACCCTCCGTAAGTCTAGAAAATTGTACGAAGAAAAACTTGTTAAGGAATCCATAGAATGTCCTAAACGCTTGTATTCCTATATAAACCAAAGGACAAGGAGAAAAGGAAATATTCCTGCTCTATGGGGAGACAGTACTGCTTCATCATTAGTGGAGGACGACTTTGGTAAGGCTCAAGCGTTCTCGAACTACTTTAGCAACGTGTATACCATAGAAGCGCCCTTCTCGTCAGCGTATACAGATCCCCCCATACATACACTGGATAGCGTGACCATTAAAGAACTCGATGTCTTTGATCTGCTAAATAAGCTTGACACAGGTAAATCCACGGGGCCCGATGAATTACATCCTAGGCTACTGAAGGAATTATCTAACTTCGTTGCGAACCCTTTAAGTACATGCTTTAACCTATCCGTTACGCAGGGTCGCTTACCGAAAGATTGGAAAAACGCCATAGTAAGTCCTGTCTTCAAAACAGGCACGAAACACAAACCTGAGAACTACCGCCCCGTTAGCCTAACTAGTGTGGTTGTTAAAATATTAGAAAAGATTATTCGGAAGGAGCTGTTTAAGTATCTCGATAAAAACCGGATCCTCTCGGAGAAGCAGCATGGCTTCAGAATAGGTTATTCTTGTCTCACTAACTTATTAGTGGCTCGTGAAAGCTGGTGTGCTCTTAAGGACCAAAAGCTACCTGTAGACGTCACCTTCATTGATTTCAGTAAAGCCTTTGATAAAGTTCCGCACAACCGGCTGTTATATAAGTTAAGACATGTCGGGATTGGAGGTAATTTATTGATGTGGATAAAAGACTTCTTAGTTGGGCGTCAACAAAGAGTAAGGGTGAACTCAAAGTTATCTAGCTGGGAAACTGTGCTTAGTGGAGTGCCCCAGGGTACAGTTTTGGGGCCAGTGCTATTCCTCTTGTATGTAAATGACCTTCCTTGTCTCCTATCATCATCGGTCTTGCTATATGCTGACGATGTCAAGATATGGAGAACGATACGATGAAAGAGTGATAGCTTAGAACTTCAAAATGACCTGAAGAAGTTATCTGAATGGTCTCAAACATGGCAGTTGCCGATAAATACTTCCAAGTGTGTTGTGATGCATATCGGTCATCAAGGCACAGATACATACACGATGAATAACACTGAGCTACCTGTCGTCCAGACATATAATGACTTAGGAGTTATCGTTAGTCAAGACTTAAAGACTACTGCACACTGCCGTGCAATAGCCGCCAAAAGTTTTAGAACGTTATGGTCAATACGTAGGGCTTTTAGTCATGTCGACACTAAGACGTTTTTGACTTTGTATACAGTGTTCGTTCGCCCTAAACTTGAGTATTGCATACAAGCGGCTAGCCCCTGCTTTAAAAAAGACAGAGAGCTCCTGGAAAAGGTTCAGAGAATGGCGACTAAGCTGGTTCCCGCAATAGCGAAGCTTCCGTATGAATCTCGACTGGCCAAGCTGAACCTTTTCCCGTTGTCATATCGCAGAACTAGAGGCGACTTGATTACAGTCTACAAATTGCTTAGTGATAAATTTGCACCTAACATGCCCTCATTTTTCTTGTCTTCCAAAACAGAGAATTTACGAGGACACTCCAAAAAAGTTCATAAGCCGAGAACAAATTACTTGTCAGCTGACTATCGACTTTCCCATCGAATCATCAACGAGTGGAATTCACTACCTCAGCACGTGGTTGAGGCTCCATCCGTCGACTCTTTCAAAAGAAAGTTGGATCAACTGAGAGACCACCATTGCCAGGACTAACATAGGCCATCGAGCCTCCTGTCCTTCCCAAACTGAAACTGAAACTGAAACTGATATAGTGAAAAAACTTTTTCAGGTCGAAACAATCGGTTGCTTAAGCAATAAAAACAGGGGAAAAGAGATAAAGAGGGAATACTGAAGAAAAGCGCCAAAGGTCCCCTTTTTCACCTGCCTTGTTAAAATAACATGAAACTCTAACTCTTTGTCACTCTATTTTCGAAATGTCGCAGAATTGTACACTTCTCGCTTAATCGCACTCCAAATTGCCTACCTTCCTCCTAGCCCCAACTGTCTCCTATGTTCGCATTTATTCCCACTACAAAACACACGACGACTACTACTGAATACATTCAAAAACGGCATATAGGTAAAGACACTCGTCGGCAAGCAGTAACATTGGACGTCAAGTTAAATACTAAAGTACACTTTAATAATAACTCCTTCATTACAATTGTAGTGTTAATATTCCTAATCAAAATAATCTTGTGAATTCTGAAATTTAATAAACGCAAAGATTCACAACAATGTCTAACAGTTATAGTTCGTTAAGCAACTCTCGATCTGAAATATAAATTACGGTTACGTTCGTTAATACTGAACACCACCTGTAGAATGGTAGCGGAAAGTTATAACCATTGAGTAGTACATACATGTTCTTTTTTTTCTCTGAGATACTTTTACAGTTTGTCCCATGTCATGAAAACACCCTTGCGTCCCAATGTCATGCAGTTTAGCAATTTCTTTTTCGGTGACGGATGATGATAAGAACTGCGATGTTAGTGCGTCTAATGATTAGAAAAGGGGAAACATATAGTTCTTAAAGCTTATTCTTACCATGCGTTGACTTTCTGACTTTTATGTGATACGTCTGAACTAATGAAGTGTGTGTTGTGAAAGCCTGTTTGATTTCATATGCGATTATGAATTATGATACCTTCTTAATTAATAATCCATTACCTGTAACTTCTACAGATCTTCGTGAATGACAGTGGAAATTTGCACTTACGATGAAAATACGTAACGAGCATATGTCTGTTATTAATCTTCCTGTAAACCATGATGTTATTGCTTGCCAATGAATGTCCCTAACCATATGTCGTTTTTGAATGTAGTCGGTAGTAGTCGTCGTGTGTTTTGTAGTGGGAATAAATGCGAACATAGGAGACAGTTGGGGCTAGGAGAAAGGTAGGTAATTTGGAGTGCGATTAAGCGAGAAGTGTACAATTCTGCGACATTTCGAAAATAGAGTGACAAAGAGTTAGAGTTTCATGTTATTTTAACAGGGCAGGTGAAAAAGGAGACTTTTGGGTTCGTTTCTCATTTTACTGACAGAATTTTCTTGTTTTCCCTTTTTGATTGCTTCGGTTAATATGGAAAATTAGTAGTTTTACCCATGAGCTGTTTTTCTCATTGTCATTATTCTCCTACAGCTACTTCAGTCATTTCAAAGTACGAAGTTTTGGCTTCGTTCGTATTTGTCTTATTGCTCGCACTCATCAAACAGGTAGTTTTTTGTCTCTGAATTCATAGTTTAACTACATGTTCCACTTGTTAAAAGTCTGTGGTTGTACGACTTTTGTTTCTTTGTTTTCATAAAAATTCTCATGTTTAGCATTCACATATGGATGACACATGCAGTATTGTTATTGAGGATTTGGCAAATACACATAACGTAAAACCGGAATCAGTGGAAACATGGTTAGCACCATTTGGTGTTGTTAAATGTAAGTGTTAAACTGTGGCAGAATCTTGAACTTCTTTAGGTTTATTTCGAGTTCTAAATTTCAGTTCCTACTTATTTTAGATGATTTTCTATCTGACTCCACCCTTGTGGTGACCAAAGGGAATGTATTAAATATCAAACGGCCAAACACACGAATAATGGGAAAAATTATTTTTGAAATAAGACTTTCATTCATTGAAAGTATAGGCAAAACATTATGCAGTATTTCACTATTGATTATAAGTTGTTTCATGACTTCAATGCTCGATTTATTCAAACACTTTAATCCTTTGTCACTCACTGAACTTGGTACGAAATAGAAGTGAAGTGACTTTAGCTACAGAAGCATTAAAAGTAAGGGCGAATGGCCAACTTTTTTATAGTAGTGTAAAACTTCTTACTATCACGTAAAAATAATCATACACTTGGTATTTGTAGTAAATGATGATTGTATCCTCAATGGTGACTGGCTTCAAGGTAGACATTTTGTATTTTTAGTAAAATGTTGTAACCTATAGAATCAACCAAATAGAGATTATATATAGGTAACTGTTTTGAAACTTTTCTACTTCCATTTGTCTCCTTTTATAATCAGACCTGCCTTGTTCATTCTTGGATACAAGATTTTAACGTTTGTTATGCCATTAAACTAACTGGCTCCTTACACGAAGTACCTATTTGTACATTTCGTTTTTAAATAAGTTTTAAATTAACTGAAACTTTTAATGTAGAGAATTTTAAGAATGCTAGTTTATTACTTTTCATCCCGATAGATAGGTACAGTAATTTACCTTACGTTTTCACTACCCATGTTTTTGCAGTCGTATGCTAGCTTCTTGCTACATTTTTCACGAAAGCAAAATAAACTAACACCAACTGAACTTTATCTCCTATTAACCTGTACTCTTGTTTGTTTGTCGATTGCGTATGTAGCTTTTTTCCTTTCACAATATTGTAATTGAACTTTGTATGACTTGTTTTTTGGTGTATCCTATTGTACTAGAATTTATATATACTACAAATTCTCGTTTCAAATGTCTACTTATCCAAGTAATACACGACTAGGATATTTTAAGAAAACTTCAGATTGAGCATACTTAACTGTTGACGGATCTACTTTCAGTTAAAGAAAGTTCTCAGGAAATATTTACGTGGTAAATAATTATTTCCATGTTGAAATACCATTATTGGCTACTATTATAGTTATGAATAAATTGTAATTTTATTGATATTTCTGTCTAACTTTCAACAACCTTGATTTTATAGTCTTTTAGGTAGGAGTGAATGTTTAAGTTTTCGGTATAACTATACCGTACCGACAAACGAATAAAATTTCGGTTCTTGTGTTTTGAGCGAAATTCGAAAAACGAAGAATAGCTTAGACTCCATTAACAGCTAACTAAAATCTGCCAAACTTTTTATAAAAATGCCTGAAAATGATAAACGTGAGAAGACAAAAAGTAGGGAGACACTTGAGTGCCTTTATGAAAGTGGTTTATTTTGCATAAAAAATAATGAAAAACAAATGGAATTAAGATGTATGCAGCATTTTATGATTTATGAGCTTTTTGAGGTAAATCATAGGTTCTTGATGCTTAAAATCAAAGAACCAACTGCATAAGTATTCTTATGCAGATTGCTATAAAGCACTTCCGTCTTAACACTAACTCATAACCCCAAATATTTTTGGTTTTCTGAACCAAATTGTTCATTTATGCCATCTAAACTCTTATCGTCTAATGGTTTAATGAAAGTTTTCAAGATCATGTGTGGAGTTACTGAATGTTGGTGACAAGTATAATTATACACAGTTGCTTTGTGAGTATTCGGCATTGATCATTAGTAGGTAGAAATCTTGTCCTTCAGCCAGTGAGTTACAGGTCAAAACCTTGCAGCACTTCATTTTGGATAAATGTTTATTATCAATGTGTGACTAAAAACCGGTCACAAATATATACTCGTTAAACGAGTTGCTATAAATTTAGTTTTCAGTGGGTGTATTTATATCTTTTTAGCTATATCTGTTTACCGACGTGTGATCTTCGTGGAGTTCGAAAGTCCTTCAGCGGCGGAAAATGTCATAACTAGTGAAAATGGAAAGATGTTTCAGAATAGTTATGTGTCCATACGAAGTCCGCAACCATGGGACTTGATGGTTGCTGGAGATCTTGTTACTAAATACGAGGTGCCAACTTCATCTGAAGCCAATAAAGAAGCTGAAGTGGAAGTAAAAGACGAAAATGCATCTAATGGCAATGTTCATACGGAGGTTGAGGAGTGAGTTTATTTTCACTAGTCGATCGTTTATAAGCGTCTCTGTCATTTGGAGCGATAGTTCTCTTATTATCCTTTGACGAGAAATTGCAATTCTGTATTCTGTTGGAGTTGTGACACCGTGCATTCAGCGCTTTTACTTGCAAAAATCAAGTTAAGTATCGATCACCAAGACGCAGCTTCATGTTGATTTTGTCAGTGGCGCATTATTGTCCAAATACTTTATGTTGTGGTAGAAAGTCTATCTCATGGCTGCTTAGATAGGGAACCATGGACTTACTGGTTAGGGCATTCGACTTTAGGCTACTAAGTCCCTCACACTTAAGTTCTGGTTGATACCCAGGTGATTAAGATAACTATCATAAAATGAATTTTCGCTGTTTTGGAGAAGTATTTGGATATATCTCCCAAAAAACATACCTAAAGTTTCTAAAGGTTTTCTGCTGATGACCTCCTCCTATAATTATTTCTGAGTAAGTTTGATTAGTGTTTTCTATCTTTAGCAGTAGTGTTGCTAATAAATCATACTTTCTTGATTGAAGCACTATTACTATGGATTGTGTTCATTACTGTAAGTCGACATCTCACTCTGTGGTGTGGTAGTGGAAGTATAACTGATTGTTGAGTGTGGGCAAACAACCACAGCCTACGGACTATTAAATATGTGCTTTTCCTTCTTATCATTAATTTCTACTCTGGGCTCACTGTGTGCGACTACTTATAGTTGTATTGAATTAAGTATTCTCTAGTGTTAATCTGATTCTCTATTTTGGGTCGCGAATCCTGGTTCTGATATAAAGTGATTAGTCTTATTAACGTATTATCGTAATATACATGTGAGAGGAAAAAATTATTGTAAACCACCAGTTACATTACTCTGCCATATTTATTGATACTCCCTTGTATGTTGTTGACATAAAACCTTGAGCTTAGGTTTTATGCTAATCAAATATCTCAATGGGTCTGATCGAAACGCGCAGTACAGTCTGTTAAGTCACCAAGTATTGATACCATTCGTAAAAGTTGTTAGATTTTCATAATAGCATCTTCACAGTGTTGTACATCAGTAATTGTAGACTGTTGGTAACACGGCACAGAATCAATCACAATAACTTGAGCGAATTTAACATATCTTTAAAATGTGGAACATTTTATTGCTCATAAATTTAAATGACTAGTTGTTCATATCTATACAATTTGACTTTCTTTCCTTTATTATTGTACTTATTCCATAATTGTGATAATGATGATATTTTAGGGTAAAAAAATTAATCACACATATAAAATATTTGGATAAAGATGAACTCTGGACGTTGTATAATGCATTACAAGATATGCGAAATGAAAGGGGAGCGAAGACTAAAGTTAAAACTCGTAAGTTTCATATTTCTGCAGAGTACAGCTGATCTTTTGAGCCATCTATCTCCCATAAAATTACTAGGAAGTTTAATTTTTAATTTACTTATTATTTATTTAACCATAATTGAATTTTGTTAATAAGTCGAGACTTGACTCAGTAGTACGAATAACTGAGTTGTAGTTGAAAGGAACACTAGGTGTTTTTAGTAGCCACTAATCAGTTCTTGTAATTCAGTCACCATTCCAGTGTGACTGAATTGTTATTTTAAGATAGGCATAGAACTTAAGTGTTATTCTTAGCTAAGAGACTAACTTCACAGTCGATTAGGTGTTGAAAGAAAAAGCCAATGAGTATATATATAGGCTTCTAAATTTAACACTATTATTATTATTATTATTATTATTATTATTATTATTATTATTATTATTATTATTATTATTATTATTATTATTATTATTATTATCAGCTTTATTCAATATTATATTTTTGGTGCAATATAGAATTCTCAGCGCAAAGTATTTCAACATGTTTCCGTTTCTTTCTTCTTGGTCGGTCCTGGCGATAAATATTGAGTGATCGCCAGTTAGATATTAGCAGTTCAGTTAATGAATATCTGAATAATGTGCATTTTTTTCGTTGTATATTGCCAGCAACCACATTGTCTCTTATTGAGTTTTTTGTAACTTTGACAACGAAAGGTTGTACACTTTTCAGAAACGCAATTGAATAGGTTATGCGATTAATAAACATAATGATATATTAAAACAAACAAAAATAGATAACTTGTTGAGATATCTAGATGGCAGGAACAGGTAGCCCAGATGCTCAAGCAGGCCGCCCTTTATAGACAGAGCTGGAGTTATTAATTTTACCACACTGATTTGTATTCTAATGGGGGGACTTCACAAGAGCACCTTATTTGGTTGGCGCGAGCTACCATAGCGAGTAATGTCATAATTTATACATCAATCACTATAATTACTTCTGATAGAAAGATAAAGCATAATTATTTTTTTGATTTTTTCACCTATGAATCAAATAGGCATTATGTCTAATATTTTTTTAAATACTTTTTTCTCACTAACAAACCCTTCAAGTTCCTTCTGGTCGACCTTGGCTTGATTCAATAGGCAAAACTCTATTCACTGAAAGAACTGAAACATTGCACAAATTAGAATTAGAAGATAGTAAAATAAATCGTCGTCGTTTTATTCAATGTGACAAACTATACACTGAAGCCAGTAACAAATGTGAAAAAGCATGGTTCAATATAATTGACCAAGAAATTAATACGTGTAATACTCCTATACTTCCGGAGGGTAAGTATGCTCTTTTTGTTGTAAACAATGACTTAAAATTTGAAAAACATTCGACCATTTTTTACTAGAAAATATTTTCTCACTCACTTCAAATTAAGTTATGTTAGCAAGCAATCAAATTGTTATGTTCTGCTACTGGTAAATATGATCCTGCTCGCGAACTCAACTCGTTACTCAAGTGAGAACATTCAGAGTGAAACGTAAGTATTTTTTGGCAAACAACAGAGAAAACACTAAAAATTCATATATATATCGTAAATATTCAAGCCATACTATCCTACCAATATGCTGTCTCATCGCTTGGAAAAGGACATCGCGCTTTGCCCAATCATGTAGTCTTATCACCTGGCCGGTGTTTTACTGTGCCACTGTATTACAAATCATAAAAAAATAATTTTGTCTTATTCGAGATTTGTCAGCTAAACTTGTTTTTATAGACTTTTCTGTTTTTAGAATGGCTCTTGGTGTTTGCATAGCTACACTACAGATTGTCGAAATCCTGGTTAATGTGCACCAGTTGAAATTTAATTTAACGACTAACTGTCTTCTTTTAAGATATATGTTATGTTCCCTGTCTTCTCCAATAATTTGACTAGTGAAATTTCTATACCCACTGACGATTAATAAATCCATAGAAAATTCATCCGTTCTCAAAACAACCAATCAGAAAGACTAATCAAGTGACTTGTGTACCTTGTATTATTCAAACTCAAAAACTCATATGATTTTATACATATAACACTCAAAACTGCAACACACGATAGATAAAAGTCTCAATACGCACATACATAGGAATTTGTGATACAAAGTTAGAGGACAGGTGTATATATATATGTCTCACATGGAATCCTGAAGGCCAAAGGAGGAGAGGAAGACCAAAGAACACATTACGCCGAGAAATGGAGACAGACATGAGAAGAATGAACAACAATTGGATCGGACTAGAAAGGAAGGCCCAGGACAGAGTGGGATGGAGAATGCTGGTCAGCGGCCTATGCTCCGTTGGGAGTAACAGGCTTAACACAACACACAGGATATCGTATCAGCATACCCTCTTTCCATAACGGATTTTAATTAAAGTTCTTATTCATCAACGTTAATGAGGATAATAACACTAATTGTGCTGATGAGTACACAACCAACTAACAGACTCGTTCACACGAAGTAAAGATATAGAAACAATAATGAAAAATGACGATGCAGTTAAACGACCTAACTTCTGAGGGCTTTCAGAAATATTTCGAACAGTGAAAACGGAGTTGAGACACATGTATCACCACAAATAGAGGAGTTCCATAATATGGTTAAATGGCCGTCCACTGTTTCTAGGTTTCAATTGTAGTTTAGTTAAAATTAGTTCATGATTTAAACTATGAAATACATTTGTTGTAACCTCAGTTATTATTGAACAGAATAGTATGGAGAATTAATGAGTACGTTTTGACGTTAGTCAGAAATAATTTCATGTATAATTTCTGATAACCAGAAGTAGATAGTTATCTTCCCGCTACCTACGCACAAAAAATGACGGGATTTTGATTCCTCGTCTATCACATTAATAGGTATTTAAAGAATTTTTATGACGCCAGATAAAATAACGTTCATCCAAAATAATGTACAGCATTTTTAAGTACATGTTGAATAACTTGCTTTACGAAATGTGTCATTCTGCCAAGTTTGCGATTCATGATACAGAAAGCAAACATCTATAGACAACAAGAAAAAAACTTAGCACTACTGATTGTAACCCTTGATATGACTGTAAATGCTATAATTTGGTAATCGAAACAAATTCTCACTGGTAATATACAAATAAGCTACACATATGATTTCTACCTCCAGAATCTTTCATCTCACTGAACCAGCGAAAATCAGAAAATAAAAGTCTAACCTGCGACTTCATAATTAGATAAAATATTACTCTTTATACATTCGTGAACAATATAAAAACCCAGTAAGTGTAACTGTGTGGTTCATGTAAATTGATTCAACAACAGTGTAAATTGGCCAATAAAGTTGTTCCGACCACATCAGCATAAATCAAAATCCGCAGTAGGTAAATATCTATTTAATCGATCAGTCATTTAAAATCTTGATTTCTATCTACTACAGCCGCTTCCTATTAACTACAAATAAACGTAACGTGATTTATGCTTACTTTACCATCTTCAAAAGTGATTTTGATGTAAACGATAAACAGAAAATGTTAACATGAAGGACAGAAAAACATTACTTAATTACGCCCGTTACTTTTTGTAGAGAAGCATAGGCCCTCCACCATCATTCTCTATCCAACTCTGCCCTGGGCTGTCCTTTTCAGTTCGTTCCACTTGATATTCATTCTCTTCATATCTGCTTCCAATTCTCAGCGCAATGTGTTCTTTGGCGTTCCTCTTTTTCGTTTCCCTTTAGGATTCCAAGTTAGCGCTTGCTTCGTGATGCAGTTTGATGATTTTCTCAATGTGTGTCCTATCCACTTCCGACATCGTTCCATAATTTCCTCCTCAGATGGAAGTTGGTTTGTTCTCTCCCACAGTAGACTGTTGCTGATGATATCCGGTCAACGGACATTCACCATCTTACGATATTTAGAATTACTCCTACCTTTTTGATAATGGTTGTGGTAATTCTCGAAGTTTCAGCTCCGTACAGTAGAACTGTCTTGACGTTCGTATTGAAGATTCTGACTTTGATATTGGTTGACAGTTGTCTTGAGTACCATATGTTCTCCAACTGTAGGAATGAGGCCGTTGCTTTGCCAATCCTTGCCTTGATGCCTGCGTCAAGTCCTCCTTGTTCGTAAAACTTTCCACCTGTTCCAGAGTTTCTCCATCAGATATGATTTGGTTGGTGTTCTCTGTGCTGTATTCGAGGATATGAAGTGTGGCAATTTGGACCGATGCATGTATGTTCCTGGTCCTACATTGTAACTGACTGACTAATTCGAGGATATTACTTCTTCACTTGTGTATGTTGAGGCCTACTGATGCAGAGGCTGCTGCTACACTAGTTGTCTTCATCTGCATCTGTTCATGTGTATGGGATAGAAGGGCCAGGTCATCTTCGAAGTCCAAATCATCTGGTTGATTCCGAGCTCTCCATTGCATTTCATGCTTTCCCTCAGATGTGGAAGTCTTCATAATCCAGTCAACCACCAGGAGAAAGTGAAAGGAGGAAAATAATCAGTCTTGTATGACTCCGGTCCTTATCTGTCCTCCATGCACGACTTTGCACTGTAACCGATGGTGTGAATTCCGTATGATATTGACGATTTTCTCAGGTACACCATAGCGTCGAAGAAGTTTCCATGAAGCCCTCCTATCTACACCGTCAAGTGCATTCTCATAATCAGTGAAGTTGATGTATAGTGATGAATTCCATTCAGTTGACTGTTCAATGATGATCCCTAGTATCGCAGTTTCGTCTGTGCACGACCAATCATTACGGAATCCAGTCTGTTAGTCTCGAAGTTGGAAAACATAAAAGAATAATAATAAATGCTCTGCGTAAAATTCATAAAATATTTTTTAAACGATTTCAAGAACTGTTCATCAATGCATTGAATACTTTGACACAAAAACTCGCTTTAACTGAATAAATTTAAGCCACTTCATTAACATAGAATCTATTCAGTTATAAAAGGCAAATGTGGAAATAAGTTATGGATAACAACCAATTAAAGTACACATCAGAGTTGACGATTTCGAACATTAGAATTTTCATAACTTACGAACAACAATTAACTGATTTTATGATATAAACGTAAAATAATTTATTAAACAAGTGACACCTGGAAATTAAACCATAAAATTTTGACGAAAACGATTGTATGAGTTAATTAACTAAAAAAAGAGATAAATTCTCATTGGAACGATACAAAATATTCACTGAAACCAAGATAAGCAGTTTTAAACTAATCATTTGATCAATTCCAAACTTCCAGAAAGAGAAACTTCCTGGAAGATCGCTTAATAGAACTGCTAAATTAATAGACTAAACGTTGATAAACACATTCTTTCTGTAATGCATAATAAACACGTTAATATCAATAATATGAATATTTATCAAAATACTATTCTAAGTTATTGGAAAAGGATATGAATTATTTATGTAAATCTGTATTACTACTACCTTGGGTGAGAGTATTAGTTTTAGTGCTAGCAAATAAATCTCCTTAAGAATCATCTAAGGGATTTTAAATAATAATACTGAAACTTTGTTAAAAATGGCACTTACTATGAAATCACTATAAAAATATTCAAGCGGTTGATTAGTATGGAAATTTCCTAGAATAAAACTAACTTAAAACCCATGGAGATAATCTCAAAAGTTACATGATAATAACTAGAAAACACAGTGAAATAAAATTTAAGAAACTAAAATAAAAAAAGGATTCATAATTATCAGTAACATGAAATAAAATGTTACGCGGTTACATATCAGAAACTGAATCCGTCAGGGTCGCAAGGAACTGACAATTCTGTCTTTCTGAATAAATCAACTAGATTTCGATAATTTTAATCTAGGTAGATGGCTTCCACAGAATGTAATGAATCCGGAGCTGTTTGTTTACTTGTTGATTATTTTGGAAGATTTTAAAATTTCAATATTGTATCCACTACTAAAGCAAATAAAGGATAATCCCACTGTTGAAAACATATTGACTTTTTAGTCTCAATTTCTGTGGAATGTGGTGAGAGAGATACGAAGTATAACCGTGCTTCCTAGTCCTTCAGAGTATGTATATGTATATATGTATGCCCATATATACAAATTCACAAATACAGTTAAAGGTAAGATGAAGTTTGAATCTTCGAATTTTTGTCTTGAACAACAAGCGATTCGTATGGTACAGATAAACTAATTTAGCAGCTGGACGCATCATTTTCAATACAACACTCAGTCTAGAACTCTGTTGAAGATATTTATACTGGTTAATTAGTAGGCTTATAAAACTTCATTTTAAGAAAACTTCTCATCACAGGCTAACATAAGCCATACAGTTATTAAAAGACAAATACCAACCTCTGATTTACCCTCGTGTTAAATAAATACATTGTCAGCACCATACGAGATTGAACTCAAGGCCTTCAGGTCTTGGAGCGAGCACGATACAACACAAATGAGTCGATATCCAGCAATCCATTTTCGGATTTAATTTTATGTCTTATCCAGTGTTGTTAATGACTAGTGGCCTTATTTCTAGCGCGTCTGGTTCAACTGTGTTCTCACTAGTATTTTTTAGTAAGTCTATTTTGGCAGTTATACATCAGTTAGAACACGGTTATATCAACTTGATGTCGACGGTCAGTAGATCCAATAAATTACCAGGGATTTATTTAAGAGATTCATATGTGATTAACGCTATTTGTGCTTACTTTTAATTTTGTAGATATGAACAACATATCGTTCCCACCAGTAGTAGCAGCCCCTCAACCTCAGATAAATGGGCCTGTATATGATTCCACAGGATTTCTGATGCCATATCCCAATCATTTTGCTTCAGATACTTGCTATAACGAATATTCTGCTGTATAATATATGCTTAACCAAATATATACGTACTTTAAAAATAATTTTACTTGTTTTCACCTTATTTCGATTGGTTGAAAATAATATGGCAACTATCCTACAACCAATTTCGATTATGGTTAATTTTGGTTAAGCCCTTTTTATTAACTTACTTAATAGACAATCTTATTTGAACAGTAACAATTCTCGTTTTTCTTTATGCCGTTATGATCACTGGAGCACGTGACAGACTAGCTAAAGTGTTGATCGCTTAGATATCACTCGATGATTCATCCTCCTCCCCATATATAATGTACTCAAATCCTATTATTAGTCCTTGCTGCGCCCTTATAGATTTGCCTTCGTATTCGCTCGCATATACTTATTCGCCTCTTCACTTCAGATTCTCTCGATGTGCTTATAGTTTTGTGGTTTGCGTTGTCTGCCAATGTACTGTGGTTGCCGCTTCTCATTGCCTTCTGGTTTTAATAATCATTGAGAATTATATTATAACGGTTATCGAGGTGATCGATTAGCCAAGCAAAGCCACTACAATCAATTAAAAAAAGTTATAAGCGTGGATTTTATAATTTCGTAACATTTATTGGTGGGATCAGCACTTAACTATAAAGTAATCGATACCTTCATGAACAGGAATTTTAAATATTACATGCTAGCGAATCCAAAAATAGTTCAAAACGTAGAGATTTATCAAAATGGACAGATCTTAAGTTTTACCTTTCCACAAAACATTAATGTAGTGTTATTCATATGCATTTTCTATGGCAGTCTCAATAAATATATGCGATTCTACTAATTTAACTTTTCACATAATCGACGGGAAATACGAATTTCCAAACCTATTTTAGAACAGAAGGCCAGATGAGTGTTCACAAGCACTTTTTTACTGTATTTCCTGTTCTCACTGATGTCGCTAATTCAACATAGCGCACTATAAATAACAGGTTACAGTTTGTATAAAATTAGGGCCTTTTTGCTACTAAGTTGCGGTAATAGGCTTATTACTAGCCTTCACTAACTTATGGAAAAAAACATGATAGTTAATGAATTAAACTGAAGATTATAAGACTATAAATTAAATATGTAATGAATTCATAATAAATATATGTATGGCTTCAAAATCTACCCATTTTCATTTATTCCCCTATTTATAACACCTATTATTTCGATTCCTTTTTTTGGGTCTTAACAATTTTGAGTACTGATTATTAGCAAGCCAATTTCTCGGCAATAATTTAAAACCTTAAAATATTGATTCACAGATGTTAACACTACTGATGATATATCTGACAGATTTTCGTAAGTATATCAGTCGTTCGATCCGTGTTTTATCCTGCATGGTTGAACACAGACAGTAGTAGATGCCCAAGAACAGTCAGTCAGTCAGCTACAACTTTGGACCAGGCACATATATACATCGGTTTAAGTTGCTATACCTCACTAACACAACAAGATGGACACCGGATTCATGAAAGTAGTTGATTCAGAGGTGGTAGTATATAAAAGAAGGATTGCAATAGGGATATAGTACAGGAAGAAAGAATTAGTACGTAGAAAGAAGGATATGAAGCGATTTTAATCTCACGATTTAAAGGAAGACAGAGTGTATACACCTACGCCATTGTGATCAATTCTGAGTCATGTCACCAAGAGTCTCCAACCATTGGTTACGATAGTCACGCGGACCCCAACCAAGTAGTCTGCATCTACCAACATGGCTCAGACTAGAAGTTAGTGACTTCAAGCACTGATGCCACGTTTTGGTTTGGCCGCCTCTAAGTTTCTTCCAATCATCTCCAACACCGGTTAGCATTGCACGTCGTGGTAATCAGTGTTCAAGCATACGTAACACGTGGCCCATCCCTCTCAGTCAATGAGGATTCACAACCTCATCAACTGATTTACCATCATTTTCTAATACCCTGCCGTCTAACCTCACTATTACTTACCCACTGATATCAGCAGATGCGAGCAATATTTCTAAGGCATCTGTGACCAAATACTAGTAGTTAACGAGTATCTTCTACTCTTAATGACCAAGTTTCGCAGCCGTTAAGTGGAACAGAACGAACTGCTACGCGGTATACTCGCCCTTTTATTGATAGACGGATATCTCGCCTTCGCCATAGGTGACGTAAGTTGACAGAAGCTAAGCGAGCTTTCCGAATCCGTGCTGAGATTTCGTCAGACACCAACCCATTGGAGTTGATCAGACGTCCAAGATAAGTGAAGTTGTCAACGCGTTCGACTACTTCACTCCCTATCCTTAGTTCGGGTGTTGACGCAGACCAGTCCTGAAGCAACAACTTGCATTTAGAGGGAGAGAAGCGCATTTCAAACATTCTGGCATTGTTGCTTAGTGCTACCAGAAGACTGTATTTTATCAGCGTATTCAGCAAACAGGACTATATCATCTGCGTATTCTAAGTCGATAAGTGGACCTCATGGAAGGAGATCAATACCCGAGAATTCAGTCGACGAGAATGTTATTTCCATCAGTAGGTCTATGATGAAGTTAAACAAAAATGGAGGATGTAGACAGCATTGACAAACACCACTTGAGGATGCAAAAACAGATGACAGTTCGCCATAAGCTCTGACTCGACTAGTAGTGTTCGAGTAAAGAGCCTTCACAAGGTTTATGTACTCCTGAGGTACACCTCTCAATGACAGACACTGTCATAGGATCTCGCGGTCTACGAAATCAAATGCTGCTTTTAAGTCAAGAAAGATCACCATTGTCGGATGCCGATAAGTATGCATGTGTTCTAGAACCTGACGAATGGTAAATATGTGGTCGATGCAGCCACTACCAGGTCTGAAGTCAACCTGATTTTCTCGTGTTTGCAGTTCACGAGTCTTAGTTAGGCGTCCGATCATTATCGGGGCTAGTATTTTAGATACTATATTAGTTGAACTAATCCCTCTATGGTTGTCACAGGATGATTTTAACCCTCTCTTCTATATTGGGACGATAAGTGATTGTGACCAGTCAGATGGGATTACGTCCAACTCTCAGATTTTAGCTAAAATATTAGTAAACCTAATCGCGAAAATTGGACCACCATCCTTAAAGATCTCTGGAGCCAATCCATATGGACCAGCTGCCCTTCCTCGTTTCAGATTAACTATAGCCTTTTGAACTTCTGCTAGAGTTGGAGGACCTACTTCAATGTTCCATTCACACTGTCTGGGAATGGTGAGTAGTTGTAGAGTAGCTGAAGGCCAACCGAATTGTTCTCTGAAATGTTCCGCCCATCGTTCTAAACGTCTGGACTGAGAGCAGATGAGGGTCGTCAGTCAGTCAGTCAGTAACAACTGAGAACTTCGTACCAACGTACATCATTTCGAGTTGCCATACCACATTAACACAGCGATGCAGTTGTCGATTCAAATCCCGTAGTGGTAGAGGTAGTAAGAGTATAAGCAGTAATCGGAAACATTAGTGCTTGAAGATGTTAATTAAGGAGTACAACCTACTGAAATAAACTTGGGAAGAGAAAAAAAGAGACAAGGAGAATTTAGAAGATTAGAATATTCGAAGTCAACAAGTGAATCTCCTGGTAGAAGTTCAACCCCTGGAAATTTAAATGAGGAAAGTGTTATCTCTAAAAGTACGTCAATGGCAAAGTTAAACAAGAATGGAGTGAGTGGGCAGCCCTGACGAACACCACTCGAGGTAATCAATTCTGATGACAGTTCGCCATAAGCTCTCACTTGACCAGTTGTGTTCGAGTAGAGAGCCCTTACAAGGTTAATGTACTTCTTTGGTACTCCTTTCAGTAACAAACATTGCCATAGAACCTCACGATCAACAGAGTCGAATGCCGCCTTAAGGTCGAGAAGTACTACGATTGTGGGGTGCCTGAATGTGTGTCTGTGTTCTAGAATCTGACGTAGTGTGAATATCTGGTCTATACAACCACGTCCAGGTCGAAAACCAGCCTGGTTTTCTCTAGTCTGCTCTTCACGAGCTTTAGTTAGGTGTCGAAGTATTATTGAAGCTAATATTTTTGACACTATATTAGTCAAACTGATTCCTCTATGATTGTCACAAGAGAACTTTTGTCCTTTCTTATAGACTGGCACAATCAGTGATTGAGAGCAGTCAGATGAGATTACGTCCAGTTCACAAATTCTACCTAAGACCTCAGTCAATCTCATTGCTAATACTGGACCACCATCATTAAAAATCTCAGGAGTGAACCTGTCAGGGCCTGCTGCTCTCCCTCGCTTCAGATTTCCTATGGCTTTTTCAACTTCGTAAAGAGTTGGAGGACCTACAATAACTTGCCATTCAGGTTGTCTGGAGATCGTGGGAAACCGAAGTGTGGCTGAAGACCAGTTGAACCGATCCCCAAAGTGTTCTGCCCATCGATCCCATCTCCTGGATTGAGAATGTATAATATGTCCATCTTTCTGTGAGATTGTTTCGCTAACAGTCGGTTTCCTTAACAAGTCTGAACAATTGTCTGCTATTACCTATTGCCGCTGCCTTTTCCATCTCTCTTGCTTTCGCTACCCACCACTGTTCGCGATCATTGCGTAGGCTTCTTTTCAGCTTGCGCTTAAGCTGACTCCGCTCTTCGTTATGTTCAGATCCAGGTGGAATAAGTTTTCGAGCATCTATCAGTGCGGTAGATGCTGATGAAATCCAGTATTTCTCTCTAACCTTATGGTTTACCGTATTAGCAGATATCACTGCTGTTTCCACAGCTTTTTGGATATCATTCCATGCTGCCTCGGGGTGGGCATCACATACATGGCTGCCTAACTGTTTTCCTAGCTGTTCCTGAAATATACTCTTAGCTTGACTATCATTAAGTAGGGCCCTAAGAGGTTTCCTTGCAGCGTCTTACCTACGTCCAGTAAGACGCAGACAGATACGCGCTCGCACTAGAGCATGATCTGAATCTAAGCATGTGCTCCAGAATGAGCGACAGTCTTCTATCGAGCCCCTCCATCGGTGGCTGATAGCGATGTGATCTATTTGGGTCAGACGTTGG